AAAAAAAAAAAAAAAAAAAAAAAAAACAAACAAAAAAGAAAACATTTTAGATAGGAATGATTCTAAAATATACCAGTGTTTTCCTGTTTTCTGTGTAGTGTTTAAACATTTTTCTTATTGATCCAGGAGTATCATTGAGAATGATTATTCCATAACATAAACTATAAGATCTGTTTAGATAGATAATAGTACTGTTTGCAAAAAACATGGTGTTCTTGAGAAACATAAAGTGGTAAGTACTATAAATGGACTGCTGGCACTGGACTTTTAGATTAAATGTTGGACTGTACTAAGTTTTTGAGCATGCTAACAGATAATAGTATTGCATAATAGTCTTGCTAGAGTGATTTAGAGTTGGAGATAGACTTTGAAAGGTCATGTATCACTCTGTTATTATGGCTATAGCGTTAACTTATTGAAAATATTTTTAATACTTCCTTGATTATACAACTTTAAGAATCATGCTCAGGGCCAGGGATTTTACTCAGTGGTTCCAGTGCCTGCCTTGCAAATACAAGGACCCAAGTACAATCCCCGGTACCAAAAAAAAAAAAAATCATGCTCATTGAAAGTCTTTTTTTCCCTAACAGTTTGATAAAGGGAGACACAGCAGCAACTTTGCCCATCATCAGCTATTCTCTTACCTCGTACTCACCCTTTGTAACAGAACATCTCATGGAATGCAATGTAGAGCTCCTAGCAAAGAATGACCTGCGCTTTACAGATACTGTCTATAAGGTATTTTGAACTATTAGGTACTGTCTGTAAGGTATTTTTAAGTAATATTTATTTTAGATATTATTGAATGATTTTTAAAAATCAGTATTTTAATAGTAACTCCTTGAGTACAGTTACTTGTTGCTTAACAATGGACGTATATCCTGAGAAATTTGTCAGTAGGTGATTTTATAGTCATGTAAACATTAGAGTAGGCTTACACAAATTTAGATAGTATAGCTTACTACCACACCTAGGCTATTATGGAATGTTAAACTTACTGCTCTTAGGCTACATACTTGTACATGTTACGGTACTAAATACTGTAGGCATTTGTAATACCAGTATTTGTGTATCTGACATAGAAAAAGTACAGTAAAAATATGAGGCAATAGTACTTTTTCAGTTCTCTAGTAATCTTATGGGACTACTGTTGCATACATGCTCTGTCCTTGACCAAAATGTTGTAAATATGGTGGATCACTATGAGGACTACTGTTGCATACATGCTCTGTCCTTGACCAAAATGTTGTAAATATGGTGGATCACCATGAGCACATATAGTATGCATCTGTCTCATTAAAATACAGTCTCTATTGAAATCAAGATGCAATTCAGGTTTGCTTTGTGAATGTTTTCTACTCTAAGGCAACTGGTAAAGTTTGTTAATGGCTATCATTTGCCCCTTTTCTATCAAACTGTAGTAAAATTTGGTGTGCTAGCACAAGTTAGAAAGAACTGTAACTGGGCCAGGGATTTAGCTCAGTGACACCGCACCTGCCTTGCAAGCATAATGTCCTGAGTTTGAAAGAAAGAGAAAGAAAGAAAGAACTATAATTAGATTCAGTAAAAGTTATAGTTCATGGAATTATGAGCTAAATTAATCATTTGTAAGAAAAGACTCAAACTTTGAGATAATTTGTTCTCTGAAGTCTGAGGCCAGGTCTTATATATCTATTTTTTCTTTATGAATACTGAATTTGAATCTCATATTTAACTTTTTTAAAACCTGTTTTTGTCAAATACTATGATTTTCTTAAACTTTTTTATATAAAGCCTATTTATCAAATCTAATCTTTAAGAAAAAGTAGAGTTGCATTCTTTATATATAGTCTCTATTTAATCTTCTGTGTTTTTGCCACTAATCAGAAATGTTTCATAGATGCCTAAGTGGAACTCTAAGAGATTCTAGGGTTTCATGTAGTAGAACTATGGAAACTACTGGTTCATATACAAATGAGAGATTGAGTTCAATAGGCCTCTTATCTAAAATTCACATAGCGGTAGAATTACTAAATACAACTATAGGTTTCTGACGTCTAGTATGGTATTCCAATGAGTTAAGGAATTTTTCTAGTAACTCTGAAGATATGCGCACTTTTTAATAATTGCGTATGTTTTGGCATCTCTCTGGCACATCCCTAACCACCTGTTTTCTACCTGGATCCCTCTCCTACGGGGCCATGATTCCCACAGCTCCCTAAATCTTTAGTTAATGGCTTGATCCACCTTGTCCTCTCAAAGAAAGCTATTACCTTTCCTGACAAGGTGACTATTTATCATTTTAGATTAAAGAAAGAATTGCTCCTAATTATTATATTAGTCCTTTTCCTCTTTGCAGCTTCTTCGTGATCAGTTTGATTATAAACCAATATTGACCAAAGCACAATTTATGCAGCATGGCTTTGCAGAATGGAAAATTCAGATTATTTGTGATATTTTGAATTGTGTGATGAAAAAGCACAAGGAATTGACTGGTGTTAATAAGGTAATTTTATGAATAGATTTTACTGCTGACTCATGCAAAATGGCTCAGTATTTTGATATATGAAATCGGTAGACTAAGCAAATTATTACATAGTACACTTATTCAAAGTTTTTGGGTAACAAGCTTCATGTTTGCTTTAAATACTATTCACTGTTTTTTAAACATCTGTGAATTGAACTGCTAATAGTAAGTTCAAAGATAATGCATTTCATCACTTATTTTTTAAAAGACATAGTTTCAGTAGTGTCATTTGTCAGTTATATTTCAGAAGTGAATATTTCAGTGGTAGTGGAATTAAATTTACATTCATTTTCACACAAAATTTGTTATGTCTAATACATTGTTGTTGATTTTTAGACTCCTTCACAACCAAGAAAGAAAATCATTTCTGCTCACTCAGAACCTTCATCAAGCAATGAGAAAACACCTGCAGAACCTGTTGGCTTTGATGTCACTGGTAGATTTATGACTTCAGGAAAGGTAGAAAAAATACAAAACACATCATGCAGTTTTAGTTATGTAATTAATGAATCTGATATGTAAGATTCACTTCTCACTAGCACTTGGTGAGACATCTCGTCATGATATTACATTATAGTCATTTTTTTACAAGTATCATTTATTCTTTGAAAAACATTCCTGAAGTTACAAGAAAAGCATAGAAATATAAAATTAAAAAAGAAAGAATTATAAAATCAACTAAGTTTTTTATTTCTAATTTGAATTCTACCTCATTTCCCAGCAAAATATTGATTTAGATAGTTATACAGTTATCCACTCTTACTATTTGTTACGTATCTAGTCTTCTTAAAACATGAGAATATAGTATGCGAAAAACCTGCCCTTAGCAATGAAGATGGTTGTGATGATTCGTTTATATGCATTGATATTTCTGTAACCAGGAGTATGAATTATCTAACAGTTGATAATCTGCAAATGTGAAATGTGGTTTGGAGTTAGTGTTTTGAGTGTTTTCCATTTGTTCATAGATATCTTCTCTGCCTATGTATTCATTGTGAATGTGTGGTAAAATAATCCATTATATTTAGGGATATACTTTTTTCATCTCCAAGGGAGATTTAAGCTAAAATATTATTTTCTAATGATAAATGTACTTCAGCCATCTTACATTTGTGGAAAACTTTATAAGATTGAAGGTAGAATGCCAGATGAATAATCAGTGTGTAATAACCTAAAGGATATAGTTTCTAGCTACAGTACAGTCTAGGGAACTCTTTCTACCTGAATCCACTCTAAGTGACTTATAAAAGTAGAATCTATTTAAAAGATTTCACACTTTTTAAAGTGTAATTTTACCCTCAAAACAGGTTCGTGTACCAATAACTTTTTTAAAATGTGCTTGCTTTGCTCCAAGTAATGAGGGCAATAAAAAAAAAGGAATTATAAGAGGCATAAATTCTGTATAATTGCTCATATTTCTCATCTACCTGCACCTCTAAAGTCACCCAACTCTTACTATATGTTCTTATTTTTCAATTGTTTAATGATTTATATTGTGTATAAATAAGGATTTTCTTATCTGGTTTCATTTGCTTTCATTGTGCTTGGCACAACAGTAGATATACTGTATGTACTTACTAAATGTAAGTTAATATAACAATATTTTTTCAATTTTTTATTTCAATATAGGGGTTCTAGGGTAATCTAAATTTCTCTAAGAAAGAAAAATACAACATTTTTGAGACATTAGATCTATTTTCAATATTCTTAAAGTTCTCTTGGTTTCCCATCAAAATTAAAATGATCTATATCAGATTTTTAATTACCAGGAATTTGAATGAATATTAACAGTTTTACGATTTATAAAAGTTATAATCCCCAAGTAGATGTCTTTATTTATAGACAAAAATTAAGTCAGTTCTACAGCAAATTGTCTCCTCGATGCCTTACAAAAAATGTTGCTTGTGATTTTTTTTGTCACATATACTAAGTTCTATAGGAGATATCGAACATTGTAGGGGGAAAAAATATAGGCAGAAGAGTTCTCTTGTATAAACTACATAGTTTGACCTAGTCCATTTTTTCAGGATTTTCCTTTTTACATAAAATTTGAATTGTTTGCTAAAGGTCTAATATATTGAGATTTAATAGAAAGAAATCACAATGAGTCCTCACACAGCTAGTTTTGTTTTGGTTTTTTTTTTTTTTTTTTTTTTGGTTTTTTTGAGACAAGGTCTCACTGTGTAGTTAAGATTGAACTCATTATGTAGCCTAGGGTGGTCTCGAACTCACAGCGATCCTCCTGCCTCAGCCTCCCGAATGCTTGGACTACAGGCGTGTGCCACCATGCCCAGCTAGTTCTTGATTATTTATTTGTAAGTTATATGAAAGCTTTATTATGGAACACTTAAAAATCTATAAGTATCTGTCATCCAGTTTCAGCAATTTATCAACTCTGCTAATATTGTTTCATCTTCATTGTAACCATTTTCCCCAATGTTATGAAAAACTCAGACATCTCTAAACACTTCAGTATTTTTCTAAAATATAAAAATGCTTTTAAAAGTCCAAATTACACTGTAATAATAGATTTTAATATTTTGATATATACATGAATTGTGGTAATTTAAATCTTTTTAAATCTTTAAAGCAAGGCTAGGAGTTCTTTTTGTGAAATTACTGGATGTATGTTTAAAATAATGGGAGTCAAACCATTGAAGTATTTTTTTACACATGTGTCTCTGTGCAGAAGAAAGCCGTGGTGATTCGTCACCTGTATAATGAAAATGATGTTAACATTCCTGAAAATACAGAAAGTTCAGTAACAGATGATAATGAAGTATGTGATGTGTCAGATTCAAAGGCTTCTGAAATAAAGGTTACTGCTGTGCAGGTCCTTGAAACCCAGACTGAGCAGGAAGTAAGAATTTAAAGATATCATGTTTTCTTACTTTGATGTCCATGATTGATTGAGCATTTAAACTTTGGAATATTTCTAACTATTGGAATTATTAATCATGACATATTACCTGTGTTATTACTTAAGAATCATTAAGTTCTACTGAATATAATTCAACAGGTGTTATTTGATACTTCTGTTTAGAATTTTGGCTACATATTGTAAATAATGCAAAGAAAGGTGAGACATGACGTGGCTTCAAGGAATTTATATCCTAGTGAGATAGATATGTACCATTTTGTGCAATGGAGGTTTTCTACCACTTATTTCCTACACTGGTGATTGGAAAATCTTGGTACTTCATTGTCCTGTCATATTGCTTTTCCTTTCTTGGTTCTTGCTACCCTTTTCTGTCTCTTAGAATATCATGTTTATTATTCTTTATTGCCACAAACCCCATTATGTGTCTAATTACTATTTGTGCTAAAATATCTTACTCTATTCTTTTTCTATGTTTTCTGACATCTATTCATGTTAGTATATAATTGACAATTTATAAAACCTACCAGATGGCCATAGGCTTGTTTCCTATTAAAAGATGCACTAAATAATGTCAGTGCACTGTCCTTGTAGTTATTTCCTCTTGGCTTCATGCTAGCTATCTTACAAGAAGCTAGTTAGTATTTAGTGACAGTTTTATTGTACTGCCTGGTATTGTTTAAGAATATTATGCCTAGGGCCGGGGATTTAGCTCAGTGGTTCTGCCACCTGTCTCACAAGCACAGGGACCTAAGTTTGACCCCCAGTACCCCCCAAATTATGCATATTTACTCATAATAAACATATTAAGTAGATACTATTGTTACCTCGTTTTTTAAATGAGAAAATGGGGGCATCAAATAATATGTCTCAGATGAAGTAGTTTAAATGTTTTAAGTAGTCTGCCTTCAGCAATAGCTCTCTTAATTCTTATGCTGTACTACCTCTCCTAACTATCAAAGAGTAACAGAACGGAAATTGAAATACATTCATTTTAAAGGAACTTCAGCTTACATAGTATTTTCTCTAATCTTTTTGATCATTTTAGGACATAAAAAGTAACCCAGAGCTCACTGCACTACAAACAATGCTTGCTGAATGTCAAGAAAAACTTAATAAGTTGACTTGGATAGAGAAAAGGCTCGACTCTTTGGAAGAAACAATGAAAGGGAAGGTTATAGTAGATGAAAAGACCTGGACTAATCTTCTAAGTCGGATCACTCTTCTTGAAACAGAAATGCTTTTGTCTAAAAAGGTATTTTCTTTCCTTGAGATATATGGACTATCTTAGATACAGTAAAGTATTCCTTTTATTATGTGTGTATTCTTTTGGAAATGCTAAGTATGGCAATACTTAGATAATGGGGAAATGTTTAGTTAGAATAAATAAAGTCCTGTTTAAATATAGCCAATTTTCTTGTTCTTATTGTGGCTCTTTTTCTCTCATCGACTAAGATAGTTTGAGCTTTTATTTGATAATAGAACTTGAAGTGCTCAAAATGAAGCAAGACTGTATGTGTTTAGGTAAATTTTAAAATTATTTTATATCTTATAATAGCACAGTGGTCTTTCCAATTTCTTTCTTTTTCTTACTAGCTTTAATCATGTTGTGAATTTCATAGTAATATACCATTGCTTTATCAAATCTGAGAACTGTTTCTGTTACCTAGAGTTCAATTTCTGGTCCATTATTTTCCTACAGTAAAGTTAATAGGTTCAAAATGTTTACTATCTGCTTACATGGTTAAAAGATTATTTCTTATACATAGGAAATCTTATGTATTGCTTTGTAAATAAAATAAAGTTACTTATGTATTTCTTGTACCATTGTTATATTTTATGATTTTCATTTTATTCTAAATATTTAACCATTTTCCAGAATGAATATGTAGAATTTAATGCAATGAGTGATGACTATACATCCAAAAATGACATAAATCTCGTGACTCCTGGTAAGTTCTTACTGGTATTGGTATTGGTGGTATGCTAGAGGGCTTTCAGAAAAGGAATGTTTTGCATAATTTTATTATTTTTAAGCCTTATTTTTTAAAAAGAAATTTCAAATCTTCTAGAACAAAGAAATTAACAAACCTATAGTAATTAAAGCTAAATATTGCTTAATGAACTACTTACATATCTTAGATAACATAGATAAATAATTTTCAAGGTACAAAGTTGCAAACCTTTAAAGAGACATTTTGGTCTTTTAATCATTCTAGTATAATAAAGTGCTCTAAAACAACAAAAATAGACCTCTAGAATTTCTAATTTTTGAAACCTAAGTAATAGTATTCTTGTATGTGAGTGACATATAAGACAAAAAAATTTAAGTAACCTGTGAAGTATTGCAAATCTCTTGTACTCAGGCAGTTCATTAATGGTCTTTTCTATATCATTCAACTTCATGGTGATATTTTCAATGTGGCAGAACAACAAGGATCTCTTCCGTTTCTCAGCAACAGCTTTTATTTTGATTCTCATGTATTTTTTGGAAAGATAAAGGACCAAATTTTCTCATTTCTATGATTAAGTCATATTTATAAAAGATAGTTTGTACAATTCAAAATTCATTAAGTTAAATTTTAACATGTGGGTGTTCGACATCATTGAATCTTTAAAGTACATATAATAGTAATAACAATGTATTGCAGCGCTTTGTTCTGGCATTGTTATAATTACTATATTAATTTAATTCTCAAAATAACCATATAAGTACTATTATTGTCTATACTGTATTTTATAGATGAAGAAGTGAGCTGCCATGAGATTTAAGTAACTCTGCCAAAAGTCACTTTTTTTTTTTTTTTTTTTTTTTTTTTTTTTTGGTACTGGGTTTGAACTCAGGACTTTGTGTTTGCCAGGCAGGTGCCAGAACCACTGAGCTAAATCTCCAGCCCTACACTGTTACTGAATTGTGGGTAGGTTTGAATTCAGGTGACTGGCTCTGAATTTTTTTCTTAACGACTACATATTTAGGGCTCATGACAATTTCATTATACACAGAACAATTTCAGTGATTATTCTACTAAGTTCAGTCATTTGAGATGTTATTTTAGGTATTAAGTTTATATAGACTACCAACTTCAGATTTGATAAAATTTTGACTTTTTTCCATTGATCATGCATCTCTTCATAGATGTTCAAGTTTAACTAAAGATTCCTGAGAGCAGAATTGTTATCTTGTAATCTGTCTAGCAGATCGAAAATGTAACTTTGGTCTCTTCAAATATCTACATATAGTAGAGTTCAAGTATTTGTGTATTTAAAGAATATTGAATCTACTATTTGTAAAGCATTGCCTTTTTTGAACTTGATTTTGAATGTTTGAGCTATGTTTTTAAATAACATTATTACTGCAGAACACAGTATATCTTTTTTTTTTTTTTTTTTTTGGTTTTTTGAGACAGGGTCTCACTATGTAGTTGACTGCCCTGGAACTCACTATGTACTCCAGGCTGGTTTTGAACTCACAGTGATCCTCCTGCCTCAGCCTCCCGAGTGCTGGGATTACAGGCGTGTACCACCACGCCTGGCTAGAGCACAGCTTATCTTAATGGTATTGAGAAAGCACATGGCTAAATTTCAGCCACTGTACTCAGTATGATAAGATGGACCACTGTCTGAAAAGGGCTGTAGATTATCAATAAGGTGAATAGCTGGTCTCATAGAGTTTATAATCTAGCCTAGATAAATTGAAGGGTCAAGTTTGTAAAGCCTTATACATTATACCTTACATATGCATGCTACTTGGAAGCAGTAGGTTTGATTTCATTTCAATGTAGAGAGCAGTGATTGCCTCTCTAGTATTAGAATCATGTTCAGTTGGGAAGATATTTGTGAGGTTCTAGATTTGCTATTCCTTTATCAAGACTACAGTGTTCCTCAGTAAGCCACCTCAGTGCTTCAGTGAGGTAGGAGAGTATTTTAAGGACTGTACTTCTGTTGGATGATTCTGGAGAGGACTTAAAGAAATTAGGGCTCTTCTGATGTTGGTGCATTAGGAGGCAGGAGAAGTTTGAAGGCTGATGATCAGAATGAAGTGGAGCTAAAATTTTCTGGGAAAACAAGCACTCCTTAGTGGAGAGGGGACTTTTCTGGCCACTGATTTACATAGCATCCTTGTTTATGTCTCTTCACACATGCCTGGTTTTGTATTTTTCTATTTCGTTAACCTCATACAATGTTGTTTTCTGTGAAATTATATATTTTCCTTAGGGGCAGTAGTAACTCAGAGGTTAATTTCCCGATAGGCTACCAACTGTCAGAGTTGTGTTTTGTTTTGTTTACTTTGTTTTATTCCTGTTTTCCCTCAGAAGAAAAGATTATTAACCAAAGTATGGCTCTAGAAAAGAATGTGGTTTTTCCCATTGTGAGTAGAAGAAAGATTACATGTGGACACGTGAAGGAAGTTGAATCAGAAGAGTAGAAAGGCCAAGTCATAGAGTTTACCCTGAAGTCATAGAAAGATTTTTTTTTTTTTTTTTTTTGGTACTGGGGATTGAACTCGGGTCCTTGAGGTTGCGAGGTAGGCCACCGAACCGCTGAGCTAAATCCCCAGCCCCATAGAAAGAATTTAATCAACAGTTTTATAATCTCAGATGAGAGTTGCTACTAAGGCACCAGTCGTGATGATAACAAGCAGGTAATTTATTTGGGAGATACTTGGATGTTAAAATTGAACTGCCTTGGTTACTGATAGAAGTAGAAGAGGTGAAAGAAAGGAAAAGTAGAGTGATTTCTTGTTTGGCCTCTTCTGTTTGGGTTACTGTTACTCTTTTATTTTATTTATTTTTTTTGGTACTGGGGATTGAATTCGGGTCCTTGAGGTTGTGAGGCAGGCAGCAGAACCACTGAGCTAAATCCCTGGCCCGGATTGCTGTTACTCTTAAATAGGAATTCAGGAGGAAGAGGAGATTTGCGAAAAACAATGAGTTCATTTTTGGATATAATAAATCATATATGAAATAATAAGAAAGCAATATCGAAAAGTTGGTTGCTATACATATGGGTGCTTCATTTGGAAGTACTGCCTTACAAATTACTGAACAGTGAAAGACTCAACGGGTTCCTGTATTAGTAAAAGGTGTAATGCCCCAAGTTGGTGGTAAAACATTAATGGTTCTGTAAGAAGAGGTGGCTAGGTGTAGTGTCCCAAACCTAGAAATTTTCATTTCTTCACAAGAATCTCTTAGCAATCACCTCTGAAGCTCTCATATGACTTGTTTCAGGGGCCTGGTGTCAGGGATGATTGGTCTCCCCTTTCTTTCTAACCTGAACATGGTTACCCCTTCTTTTGATATCCCTTATGGCATGGCTAAAAAAACATGATTTTTAAACAAGTAAGGCCTTTACTAAAGGTTCAGGAAAGCAAGGAAAAAAATTGTCATTGAAAGTAATATGCCCTTAAGTGATCTGGCTATTAAACACATGACTGGTGCTCTGTCTGTGCTCCACTTTATAAGCCCTGGAGTCCCCTAAGGGGCTGTCTCTCTGAATAATCTGCCAACCTACTTAATACTAGATTTCTTCCACCACAAGGGACATCCCTGCCCAGAACATTGGGCCAAGATAGCCATTTTAAGAAATCATCTATCTTCACAGCTCTGATTCCTTCCTTGTTTTTTTTTTTTTGTTTGTTTGTTTTGTTTTTTATTAGTATAGTAAATACTGGACACCTGTCTGTTCCCATAGAAAATAATAAAAGATTTAGGATATAATAGGTAGTAGTTCCTTCTTAGCTTTTCAGATTATTCCTGAAAATTACCTGTTACTGCACACCTCCTGCTACACGATCTGGGTCTAGTTGTTTTTCAGAGTTGTGATCTTGACCCCTATGCTCAGCTAACTGGGTGAAGAGTAGGCTCCTAACCCAGTAAATAGCCAATCCCAAAAGCCAACTTGCATTCTCCTTTAGAATTTGGAATTAGGGTACCTAATGGAAATTGTCAGAAAAGACTTACAGTAAAAGCTTTTATGTAAAACAGTTTAAATGGGTGTCTGATTTTTTTGGGGGGTAGGTTGTTGTTTTGCAGCCCAATCTACTCTAAAAAGCAGGGCAAGATGTATAGGACTAACTTAATAGGAGTATGTCTTATCTCTGATGGCCCATAATTGACTGAGTGATAGAAAAAAAATGTACCAACATTTTGTCAAACTAATAATATCAGGATATCTGAAATGTTAAGTTGTTTTGTTTTTTGGGCGAAAAATCCTGTGGATTTTACTTGAATTTTAAATATTGCTTTTCCATATGTGTCAACTTAGGATGACTTTTAAAAGGTATGAACTGTATAGTCAGTTTTGGTAATAGTTGTCACTTACCACAGAACAGTAGTAACTATTTCTAGAATAGTTAAAAAAATTAATAGACTAGTAAACCATCCCAGCATTGCTGGATAAAATCATGATAAATTCATCATACTTACTAGTTAATGTAAATCCCACTGTTTTAAAGGAAAGAATATATATGAATAAGTGGCTTATATTTAAAGATAAATTACTCTCATTCAAACTGATTGTTAGCATGATAGACAATATTGCCTTTTGCAATGTTTTTTTCTTTTTCTTTCCTTTTTTTTTCTTTTTTTGAGAAAGGATCTGCTTAACCTTGAACTCTCCTTTCTTCTACTTCAGCCTCCTGACTAGCTGGGATTGCAGTCATGTACCATCAAGCCTGGCTGCCTTTTGTAATTTTTTGTGAGCCAATTTTTAATATCTACATCTCTGTATGTAGATAGGCTACTCTTTTGAAAAAATATTAAAAATCCATATTTTGATAAACACCAGTAGCTCTTTTAGATCAAAATATTCTTTCATTGATAAATAAAATTTTTAGATATGTAACACTACTGTGAAAGGAAAAGATAATTTAAAACTTAATTCCATCTTCACAGATGGAACAATCAAAATGGAGAGGCCAGCAAGTATTCCTCTGTCCTCTGGTTATAATACAGAATCAACAGATTCAACTCCCAGAGCCTCAACTATTAATTACTGTGGTTTGAAAGACATGTCAGAGGTAAGAAACACTGACAACTGTTTAGATGATTTCTTCCAAAGGTCAAGAAAACAACCATTGATTTTTAGTCATATACTATTAGCAAGAAAAATGGCAAAACTATAAATCTTAATCTCAAACATTCTCTGTGATGAGTAAGTAGTACCTAATGAAATGTTTCAGACTTTTTTATATGTTCATGGTCCATCTTTGAGGATGATTTACTGAAAGAAATTGCCTAAATTTGTTGCTTTTTAAATTAAAGGAAACAACAATCCAGAAAATGGAAAGGATGAAAAAAATGTAAGTAACAGAAAGGGGCAACAGAAATTCATTTCTCTATAGGGAATTGTATTGGATTACAGTACATATAGAATGTGCATATGTGTTTCAAACCTTAAAGGTCTCTCAGTCAGGTGTGGAATTTCCTTCAAGACTCCAGTGGATAATAAATCCACCTACAGTTATGTGTTTGTAAGATGAGTCATTATTTTGGTTTCCAACAAGTGATGTACAACAGTGTTAATGGAATTAACTGTGGATTAAAGAGTGCAAAGATATTTTTGGGTGGTAGTTAATGAAGTGTTATCTTATTTTTGATAACTGATTAATCAGAATAATAAACATGGAGATGGATATTTGGAGACATTTTTGTTAAAGTATCAATAATAAGTTATTATAAGGTAATATTAGTCATGACACTTTTATCTAGTACAAATGATATTATGTCTGATTTTTAAAAGAGCAGTTCAAAGGAAATATAAAATAATTATATGAGGGGCCAGGGATTTAGCTTAGTGGTTCTGCCGCCTGCCTTGCAAGCACAAGGTCCCGAGTTCCATTCCTGGTACCAAAAAAAAACAAAAACAAAAAAACAATTGTATGAGAATAGTATATAAAAATTTTTAAGAGATTATATAACCAAATAAACTATATGTAATCTTTTTTTAAATCTTGAAAAAACTACTCAAATAATCCTCCAAGAATTGACTAATTTTTTCCCCCCTCTGGCCATAGTACAAAGTTTATTAGTACTGTACTACTTGTAGCTAAAAATAAAATAATTCAAACTTATTTTAGATAGAAAGCATAATTTTAACAACTTATATCCTGTTGATTATGAATTACTTATTGACTTACACATCATTTGTTTACTCTATTTCAGGTTTGAAGAAACTGCAGAGTTATTAAAATGCCCAAGTCACTAAATGTAGAATTTTCTACATGAACTTCTGTAGGACTTTGGCTACTGGACATGTTTTGTATTTTAAGGACTTTCCATATAATTTTAATATACTGTAATATTTTTATTAAGAATTTGCATTCCGTTTGGTATATGAGTTTTTCCATTGATAATTGAATAAATGCTAGAATGTTTTTCAGCTATTCTTATATGATTACTCTCTCACTTTTCTTAGGAAAAACTTATTTCCTAGTACATTGCTTTTACAGAGTGAAGTCATTACAGCAAGCACTGCATTTTTGTGTTGACATTTGTTGGCAGTGTGCTAAGTAATATGTTTTTTAAAGTACAGGCTTGAGGCCCATGGTTTACATCCTGTGGGAAGCATTCCAGCTAGGACTTGCATATTGTACCCAAGAGGCTCTCATACATACCATCTTGCCATCTGTGCTGATGGATAAGTTGTAATGAAAAGTCAGAAGTGCTCATTGACAATTAAATAAAAAACACAGCTATTTCATGTTCAGTCAAAAGGTAGTAATATTAAGAATGAGAAAGTAAGGATGTAATTCTCCTTTTGTTGTGAAACAGGTCTACAGGTTCACTGTGAGAAATGTATGGAGTATTTTACTGCTCTATTCTGTATCACATTTTAAGAGCAGCAGCACAGACTGGTCAGCCATTGTTCAGAGATACATAGTGAGGTTTTCCTTTCTGTTTTAATGACAAGAAATTGTAAAAATTTTTGGAGAGAAAAAGCCTTAGATGAAGCTAAATAGACAAAATCTTTTTTTTTTTTTTTTTTTTTTTTTTTTACCAGTGTATGAACAAGGATCTATTATTA